AGTCTTGCAGGCTTATCAGCTTATTAGGTGAGAGAAGCGAGTTCTTTCGTTTCCTGTGTTTAAATGGAACACAGACCCACTCCTCACTCAGTAGATAGTCTTGCAGGCTTATCAGCTTATTAGGTGAGAGAAGCGAGGAGGGCCAGCCACACTGCTCTGGGGGCTCTGAGGTACCCCAGGTGCCCCTTGCTCAGAGGACACGTCAGTGTTGGGACCCTGGACAAGAGCAGAGACGGCCCCCCAGAACCCTGGCATTTAGAGGTGGAAGGTACTTTCTCAGCACAGCAACCACCAAAACTTGGGAGCCTTTAAAAATAGTGCCTGCCAGGACCATTTCCTTTCTCAGGACAGTAGCTGCTCCAATTGGGGAAGATGGCACACACTCTGCTTCTCTTGCTGAGATTTCTTCTGACCACCGATTGAGAAACTGTGGTGTTCAAGATCGAACTCCGGAACTGCCTCGGCCGAGCGGGGAAAATCATACAAAACCAAGAACAACAAACGAAGCAGGTGAGAATGTGCAACGTGGCCAGGGGAAGATTACTTGTAAGTGGACCAAGGGCAGGCAGGACGTGACCTCCGTAACCCCCCCAAGGGCCTCACAGCCAACCCTTTACCTAGATTTGTTTATTATTATGTTCAGTTAGCCACTGTGTAACACATTGCTTTTTGATGTAGTGTTCCACCATTCATCAGTTGCGTATAACACCCAGGGCTCATCACAGCACGTGCCCTCCTTAATGTCCATCACCCGGCTACCCCATCCCCCCACCCCCTCCCCTCTGAAACCCTGTTTGTTTCCCGGAGTCCAGAGTCTCTCATGGTTCGTCTCCCTCTCTGATTTCTTCCCAGTTTTCCCTCCCTTCCCCTGTGGTCCTCCACGCTATTCCTTATGTGCCACATGAGTGAAACCATATAATAGACTTTCTCTGCTCGACTTATTTCACTGAGCATAATCTCCTCCAGTCCCATCCATGTGGATGTAACAGTTGGGTAGTCATCCTTTCTGATGGCTGAGTACTATTCCGTTGTATGTACGGACCACATCTTCTTGATCCATTCATCTGTTGAAGGGCATCTCGGCTCTTTCCACAGTTTAGCTACTGCGGACATTGCTGCTACGAACGTTGGGGGACAGGTGCCCCTTCTTTTCACTACCTCTGTATCTTTGGCTTTACCTAGATTTAAACCCTCCTGGGGTTGTCT